TCACACTTGCCTTGTTTTTGATGAGCTGGGCAGTTTTCAGTTCTGCAGGTATTTTGTACAACTTCTCAGCTGGGATTCGCCTGGCGTTTTCCTCCTGGTTAGAGTGGGGCTATGGGTTTGGGGGAGGAAGACCCCAGAGGTAAAGGCCCTTCTCATCACACCAGGTCAAGGCTACATGCTCTCAAGATGACTTGTCCCTGTCGATGTTGTCCTCTTTGGAAGGAAACACTGTAGGCAGCCCACACTTCATGGGTGTTGAGTTAATGCTCCACCTTCTCGAGGGTCACGTACCTACACACAGTACCTACAGTTCTTCCACGGGGGAGATTTTTCACTTCTTCCCCATTTCTTTCGTTCTTTATTCAACCATTTGTTTATATCAGTATGGATCTGGGGATAGTTCTTTCATACTTTGGGTTATTAAGCAACACAACTTTATTTTGTTGCTCAAATCAGGAGCTTATCCCTTAGACACAGCCACATGGTTGTCGTGTTAATTTCTCCTGTACAGCGAAGTGACTCATACACACACACACACACACACACACACACACACACACACACACACATTCTTTTTCAGATTCTTTTCCATTATGGTTATCACAGGATATTGACTATAGTTCCCTGTGCTCTACACTAGGACCTTGTTGTTTATTCATCCTACGTATAATAGTTTGCCTCTGCTGCTCCCAAACTCCCATTCCTTCCCTCCCCATCCCCTCCCCCTTGGCCACCACAAGTCTGTTCTCTATAACTGTGAGTCTGTTTTTGCTTCATAGATATGTTGATTTGTATCATATTTTAGATTCTACATATAAGTGACATCACAATGAACATTCTTAACCACGATAAGGCAAACGTGACATCTGTGATTTTTAGCAAACAAAAGCCAACCTCCAATTCTAGATCAATTTGTTATACTAATTGTTTTTAAACTCGATAAAAGCGTTCAAAATTAAATTTTAACCAAGCTTTTAGGCCCTATCAATCACATTTACAATTGAATAGCTTTTTGCATAGAAGTCTTATCTTCGCTTTGTTAATTCTTTTCACTTGGTCTTTTGATCAGGAAGAATGAATTGGCTTGTACTCCACGAGTGAGTAGTTTTTCTCAAGATATTACCTGTAGTTCTTTTTTTGGGGGGGGGGGGGGATAGAATCTGTGACATTTTTATTACTTCTTCAGAACAAAAATAGCTTTTTCATTTTCATTTACAATAGGTTTTGTAAATGTCAAATTCCTTGTTAGTCAAAGTTAACATTCCAAAAGTCAAAGAATGATGTAAATAATGTTCAAGTGTACACGAGTAGAGTTTGAAGTAATTTCATATCACTTTCTCCCATCCTCCAAAAATCAAGATAACCTACTTTTCAAATAGCTAACTGAAAGAAAGAAATCAAACTGCAGTAAAAAAAAAAAAAAAAAAAAAGACGTGATATTTTTAAAAATATCTATCCATATTTCAAGTATAAAGAAAAAACATGAGCGTACAGGTAAAAAAACCAATGTGAAATCCATTTGCTATGATTGCTTTGTACATTTTAAGTTAATTAACCATGACACCAATTCCTTGAAACTAACTCTTACAGAATTATGGAGGATTTAAAATTAGATTTCTGTCAACTTTAGAAGTAAGCTAAATATTTTTTTTCCTCCAAGGAAATAAAATTGTTCAAGTGCATCGGTGATTTGGTTGTATCTTTTATTTCTTCTTGTTACTTTCTCAATTTTAAGAAAATTACAAACAGACAGATTATTTAACATGCTTTCAAAGGAAGAGAAATGGAGATCAGTGAGTTCGGGATACTAACATAAATTTAGGGTCACAGTCTCAGACGTTCTCCGGGGCCAGACAAGTGACGTGTACTCACATCCCTGTGTGTCCAGCAGAAACAAGGCGAGCTGGAGAACTCCTGTCCTTCCATTGCCTTCCAAGGAAACACGGCATGACAAGGGCCAGGGCTTCTGCGATGTACTTAAAAAATGTTCAATCTCCCGATTTTCAAATGTTGGCAGTTATTTTTCTGGAAGCATCGTGTGTAGTCTGTGAGCTGCTTTTGGCCTACAAACCGTCCATCTGCAGACTGATAACTGCCCACAAAATCTTCACATTGGAAGCTAATCCACCAACCATAATAACTTCCACTAAGACATAGAATTGTCAAATCATTTGAATTCTCCTGCTGGCTGATCTGAGCACTATATTTGAGAGACTAAACAAACATGAAAAGGTTGCTTGGTGACTTAAGAAGCAAAGTAAACAGAGATGGAGGATCCCAACAGATAATATGACTTGGTGATAGTAACTGGATATACTCATTTATTCACCAAATACATATTGCCCTGCGTGTGCCAGGTACCAGAAATACAGCTGAGTACAGGAAGGTAGGAGGTAGGAGGCAGGAGATAAATAAGTAAACAAGAAAACTAGCACTTGGTGAAAACTACAGTGCAGGAAAGTAGACTAGGGTAATGAGATAGCAGGTGCCTGAGTGGCTGCCGTATAGGAGCCAGTGAACCCGGCAGCCATCAGAGTTTCCAATTCTTTCTCTTTGCTCTTTTGGTTCTAGGTCCCTCCGTGAGGTCACTTATTGTGGTATGTCTTAATAAATTATAGACCAGCTTAATTGCTACCTTTCAATCTTCCTGACTAGATTTGGGGGGCATATTGATCCAAGAGGGATTTAGGGAAACCCCTAATCTAATCAGCAATTTAATTACAATGCCTGGGTCAGTGCTGCAGCTGCCTAATCCCAAACATCTTACGTGGCTTCCTTTTAGCTCCATTTCGAGTGTGTCCCCAAATCTTAGGAATGTACCATTTGAGGATTTTTATCACCTTTTTGAGACAAGAACTAGTAACAGCTTGGCAATGAAACTCCCCCCCCCCCAGGGCTAGGGCTTCTCCCACCTAAAAATGCATATTGAAAAATATCTTTTAAAACTCTTTCCTATGATGTTTTCGCTGTTTTTTTGCTTGCTTTGTTGAGGTTTTGTTGGTGTTGTTCACCCTGCCTTTTGAAACGGAGAAATCCTGGAGTGCAAAGTCAGAAGATCTGGTTCCAAGCCAGAAGTTTGGCTCTGCTGCGGGCAACGCCCTAACACTACAGCTTCATCTTGAAGACCCACCTCTTGGGGGTCCCATGAGGACTGAGTGAGAGTGTGTATCAGAAAGCCAACCCTGCAAAGTTCAATCTTTACTGAAATACTAACAAGTGCTTAGTGTTAAAATACGTGCAGGTTTTGGGACCCATCTCTCGGAGGTTTGCTGTTTCCTGCGCCCCTGCGTATCTAATCTCCCCTTCTCAGCCACACCAGAGTCCACGACCTCCCCCGCCCCCCAAGGCCCGGTGCGCTAGAAGGCTTTTAAAGAAATCTCTCTCTGGTGTGCAAGTATTTTAAATTGTAAGTACGTGTTGCCCGTAACAAAAAGGAACTGTAGGTTAAAAATGTAAGCAAATAATGGAAATGCAGGAGTACGTTCAGTATATGCAGCTTAGAGTGTATTCTTTTGGAATGCAAAAGCATTTCTCCCACTTCCCCCGCCCCCCCCGCCCCCAAACAAGGCTGGAAATGGATTGCTCTATCAGAGACATCCATTAATAAACTTCTCAGAACGTCAAGGGTCCTATCACTGGGCACGCCTGGTGAAGGGGCCCGCCGGCCGGGGCGCAGTAGGAAACACGCGAACGCGGCCGGTTGCCGCAGGGCGGTGTTGTTCACACGGCGCTGCCCAACGCGGTCTGCGCGGGACTGCGGGAGAGGAGGGGGGTCCGGCCTTCGCGTGTGCGCCTGTGCTCTCCGCCGGAGACCGGAATGCATCTTGGGGAAGGGGTTGGGAACACCAGCACCGTTCACGGTCATGTACATATAACCCGGTGTTGGCAATATATCCTTCCGGCCTCGTGCTTACACAGCATTCCTTTGGGAGTGGGACGAGAAATGGCGATTTGGGACTGGGTGCTGCGGTCGCTCGCGGGTGACCACCCGACGCTGCGGGTCACACACGACCTGAAATTGGCAAATGCGCCCCCTCGACTCGAAAATCAACCGTGTCGGCACCTCGAAACAGCGCAAGAGGGTTGCTCCCGAACGCTGGCGACCCTTGGCCTCGGGACCTGGCGTGGGGTGCGGGCAGCTGGTGGCGGGCACTTGGGAAGAGAACAGAGGTCACAGAGAGCCGGCACCGCGGGAGCCGAGCCTGAGGACCACCCGGTCACCCGCTCAGCGCGCGCCGCCCCCTCCGGGCCGCCAGCCTCACGAGCCCGCAGTCGTGGCGCCTCCTCCTCTCCCTGCTGTGGGCGGAGCGGAGCCTGGCGGGGATCCTCGCGCCCTGCGGCCGGGCATCCCGTGTCCCCTCCCCTCCCCGGCTGCTGCGGCGGTGGCGGCGGCGGCGCGGCGGGCCGGAGGGGGCGCTCGCACGCAGGAGCCCGCGCAGCAGGTGCCGCGTTACCTCCACCGCGCGGGGGGAGAAGGGGCGGGCCGGGACGCGGGAGGCGGAGGGAGGCCGCGGAGCCGAGCCGGGGAGCGCGGCCGGCGCGGCAGGCTAGCATCGAGCTCGCGGCTTCCGGGAGGCGCCGGGGTCGGATAAATACATCCCGGGCGCGCGGGGAGCGCGGGGCCGCCCGCGCCGCGCTTCGCAGGGCTCCCGCCGGCCGGCACAGGCACAGGCACAGGCGCGGCGCCGCTCCACCTCCTCCTCCTCGCGTGCCGGGCGCGGAGCCGCGGAGAGCGGCGGGCTCGGCCGCCG